CATACTCTTTGGTCATTTCTGTTCGCCCGGTATCTCCCGGGGAGTCTCGGAAGGCTGCATGCTGTCACGCTAGTTTTTGATGCGCCTTTCCTGGCAAATCATCCTTATTCGACATTAGGAGTTCGTGTAACCGACATGGGTCTTGGATATCTTGATGAGGTTGAACCAGTCTGTACTGCCTTTGCTAATCGATTATTCTCCTGTCTTTAGCCAGCCATGCATTCGAGGGCACCGATCGACCAAGTGTACTCATGGCAACGGAGATCGCATGTTGGTACCCGTGCGAAAACCTGGTCGACCGTTAAGCACTTGCCCCCATCCACCGGGCAAGACTTGCCAGTGCCGGAATTTGACAGTTGCGCTACCTAAAGGAGGCACATGTCGATGCGGCGGCAGTCAGACCAATAAGACTAACGGTACACCAACGCTCGTTAAGGCCGAGCCATCGGATAATCCGCCGTTATCGCCCACGAAACAGGCGTCGTTCCGAGTCCAGAAGTCGGCTCCAAGACCGCCTCGAAAGCAGTCTGACGCGTCTACTCTACAGCGCATGGACGTCAGCAGCCTCAACTTTCAGAATGGTGCTGGTGACTTTCTCGCAGCTTCTGCGAGCACAGTAGCTTCGCCTGATTGGTCGCATTTCGTCCCACCCTTACAAAATAGCCAGCAATATCCCACCTGGATATCTGATCAGTCGACCGTTAGCTCTGGAACGCTGACCCCTGGCACATCGAGTTCGGCTTATCACACACCGACTTCGAGCACCGGAGATGCTTCATCGCAAGAAGCCCCCTTAGAGGGAGGTGGGAGCTGCTGTTCTCAGCGGATACAGCATCCTCAACCACTACCACCTCAAATGCAATTACACGGCCAACTCCAATCCCCCCCTCAAGAGCCGTCGACCATGATGAGATATCCACCTCAAGTCCCCATGGGCAATGGTTCTATGAATGGTTCCATGATGGAGCAAATGTCCAATCGGGTAGCAGCTAACCAACAGATGTACCCGATAAACCAGTTTCAACAACCAGCTCTATTCTCGGATCATTCTTCGTTCGGTACACCCCACTATCCACTACAGCAATCTCAATGGGAGCAATTAATGGCACAAATTCTACCTCAGACCCAACCAAATGGAGGTCCTATGAGTTCATATACGAGCCACGTTTGCGACTGTGGCCCCGAATGCGACTGTCTTGGCTGTCTCGCCCACCCGTACAATCAAGCGACAACCCAGTATATCCGTGAAGCCATGGCTTTCCAAGATGCGAATTTGAACGGGATGAATGGTATGAATGGCCACGTAAATGGCAATGGCAACATCAATGGCCATGCTAATGGTAAAGTGGACGCCACTCATCCAATGCCGGATCCGCCGCTAGCGGTAGCCGACACATCGACTCCGCCAACTCAGAGTCCATCTGACACGGATTCTCCCGGCGCGAACGATCTGAACATGTCGCCTAGCGAGTATCTTTTCGTGGATTACGGCAGCGGCATTTGCGGGTGTGGCGACAACTGTGCATGTGTCAATTGCATGATACATCGTGATCCCTTGAATGGTGAGCCGAGGGATAGGACGCCCAATTGAGAGACATGATTTCTCCAACGTATATTGCAAACCGAACACACGGCGTCTTTGCTGGAAGCGATAGAACAATAGATCGGATGATATCCCCAAGGATTATGGCCAATATCCCCTGAGAATCGAGCATTTAAATCGTATATATCTAGGAGAGATAATGAGGTTGTAAATTCTCAGGGAATCATGGTTACTTGGAAACAAGCGAGCGTTCAAATTATAGGAGCGAGATTCCAAGCGAAATTGAGCGGGCCATGCCAAATTGGTTGCATCGACCAAATCGAACACAGACATTGCGGCTGTGAATTTGACGGATTTTGGGGTCTAAGCAGTCGATATTCCTCATGGAATTGATGGGCGACTGTCTGCGGGCATACCCGCTCTGAGTGGGGATCTTCTGTGCCCGTCGAGCTCCAATCGGCTTCATTGACGTCTTTCCGTCGAGAGGGGAAGCCTGCCTGAGCTCGACGAGCAGAACCCAGCTCCAGACTGCGTGCGTCCTACATCGGTTTCTATACGACTAGAGCGTAATTCGACTTTTCTAGCGTCTCTTCAGGGGAGCGAGAGCACTACGAGTCGCGTCGAGTCGGGTTCGACCCCGGAATGCCTACGAAGTTGACGATGCGGCGGATGGCCGATACATGAATGAAGAGATACGAATTGATACCAGATGATTATATACGAGTCAGAGCTTAGCTGATTTTGGCTGAGCTGCTCATGCATTTTCCCGAGCCTCTACTCAAGTTATCCCGAGATATGGGGAGTTGCTTCACTACATTGGTAGTATAGCGACAAAATATAATATTAGCACGAAAATACCTGCCTTGGTCATCCTTTCTTGTGCTGCCTGAATAGACGCTCCCTAGTAGATGCGTAGAAATATTTGCCGAGTTGTGAGATTAGATATATTTTACCTTCTCTGTGCCACTCTACGTAAGATAATACTCTTATGATGCTGAAAACGGTTGGATGCGGAAACTGGTACTCCTATAGCGAACCGCCGCTCCTATAAATTCATTGTTGATTCGTAATTATGTAGCTTTAATGAATGACGGTTACCTTGATCTTCAGCGTATAAAAAGCTGCGGCCTGCCATGTACATTTAATAAAGGTACCCGAGTTAATGCATCCAAGTACATCAGGGAGGTATCGCAAAGAGAACCTTGATGGACACCTTATGTAAGTCTTGGTTCAACCCCACACTCCACATGGCAACGATCGAAAATCTCCGACATGGAGCATTGCTTTGCTGCTGCTGCTACGACCTTGCTCAAGGGGTCTAAGGCACGGTTCTCCATATCCACCACAGCTTACTATTAGCCTGTACGACCAAACAACGGCATGCTTTCCAGGAAACAACAGCGCCAGTGGGCCCCTCTTCCGCTGCGGCTTCGGACGCACATGTAATCCTACCGGATCGTGCCTACTTTTTAATTTATCCTATAGGGTTCGCGGAGAGGCTGCTGCTGCTTATCGTTGCATCATGGCGGAACCTAGCGCGTACCGAGACCGCGGATTTGGAGAGGGCGAGGCACGTCATTCGAGGCACAAGCGAACGCGTGGGGGAGACGGGGGGCCGAAGGATGATGTGAAACGTGTTGGGCGGAGATTCGACGATTGCGATTATGGTGCTGGATATGAGAGGACGAGGTCAATGTCGCCCCGGGACAGAGCACGTCGAGAGAGTTTGCGTGAGAGCCGCTACGATGAGACGACACGTTCTGGACCGCGCGACTATGTACCACGATCAAACAGTCCATCGCGAAGAGAAGCGAGGGAGGCACACTATGCCGAGCGCCCTAAACGCCGAGATTCACGTTCCGACTATCGCGTCATAGACCGCTCTCCTTCCACGTCCTCTACCCGACACCATGACCGTCACTCCTCCCACCATCGTCACCATCACCATCACCACCACCGACACCACCGCTCCTCAACCCGTTCCACGCGCACCCTAGACGAATTGCCCTTCGGTGCCAGACCCTTAGTCCGCTCCGACCTCGAGACCTTCAAGCCACTGTTCGCGCAATACCTCGATGTGCAGAAACGCAAGGACATTGCGACGATGGACGAGAGGGAGATCAGGGGTCGCTGGAAGAGTTTTGTCGGGAAGTGGAATCATGGCGACTTGGCCGAGGGCTGGTACCGCCCCGAGACGCTTGAGGAGGCGCGGAAGAGCGGTGCTGGTGTTGGTGTTGGTGTAAAGGCGGATACTAGGGACAAGGAGACGGTATCGCCGCTACGACGCAGTGAACAAAGTCAGGACCTACCGGCGCAGGCTGATGGGGATAAAGACGGCGATTCAGCCCTCTCAGAAGCAAAAGGAGACGACGATAACGACGACGACGACGAATACGGCCCAACCCTACCCCCCGGCACCGCCGACCCCGCGCGCTCCACTGCAAAACACGGCCCGGGCATACCATCCCTGCAAGACCTCGACCTGCGCCGCGAAGCGGCAGAAGAAGAGCGGTTGCAGCGCATCGACGCGCTGCGGCTCGCGCGCAGGGCCGACCGCGCGGAGCAGAAGGCGCGGCTCGAGGACCTGGTGCCGCGGGCGGAGCCCGGGACGCGGGAGCGGCGGCTAGAGAAGAAGCGCGAGGTCAACGAGAAGATGCGGGCGTTCCGGGAGCGGTCGCCGGGGGGCGGTGGAGGGGCGACTGAAGTTGGGGAGGCGGAGCTTATGGGGGGCGGGGATGGCGTCGCCGAGTACAAGAGGATGAAGGCTGCGGCGGAGAGGAGGAGGACGGAGCGCGAGGTTAGGAGGGAGGAGGAGGGTAGGGCAAGGGAGAGGGAGAGGGAGGAGAGGGTTAGGGAGTATAGAAGAAGGGAGGAGGGCACGATGGAGGTGTTGAAACGGATTGCGAGGGAGCGGTTTGGGTGAGCGTGGGAGGGGATGCTATGGCTATGCGGTTATCTGTCTATGGGAACATTGGCGTTTGCCGTGGAAAGATACCCAATGATGCTAGGTGCAGTTGGAGGGAAAGTTCACATGTCCCATCCGTACATACTTGAAGTACTATGAGCTGTGTATACCCTAATTCGAAGTCTACGAAGTTATATTTAAGAATGACTACAATACGCATTATCATCGACTTGCGCCGAGTTGAACTTAAGTGTATGGCTATCAAGTTCCACTCTCTTCGATATCGCACTTATTACGGCTATCACGAAGCTTTACCTACGACAATAGTAGTGAAGGCGAGATGTATATCCATAGACGTATTCTATACATAGACGGAGAGAAGAGCCTATGGATGATTATGCTTCGACGTGACTGAATACCTGAATTTACTTATATGTGGTGTTGCTAGTCGTCAGCCAATAAGCTACAATTTGAGTGTGGACCTACTGATAAGGTACTTAAAGCTAGTTACCTCTCAGATTTCACCAACCAGCACACCGCACAGTGTGGCTAGGCGCAGTGGCAGAGTGGTCTAATGCGATAGACTAGAATACCTCAGTTGAGGTTTCTAGCTCATCTATTCCCTTCGGGGGCGTCTGTTCGAATCAGGCCTGCGTCGTCGTTTCCTTTTTTATTTTTTTTTTAACTTGACCATCCTTTTCTATACGCCATAATGCCATTATATTTTCTAAATTCTCTTTGATCGATATATTTGTGTTAGTGCATCGGTTATTTCGTCCTCTATTCGGATTTAATTTTGCACTGCCATTTTGTGGGCGCTGTCACTAATCATACTAGCCACGTGATCATGAAAGCCACAAGCCACAACTCTCCTTTTTAGCCACCCCCTTTTCACTAAAGGAGACCAGTGTTCAAAGTCAGTATTGGCAATTGGGTGGCTCTTCGATACCAGTTTCTTCAATCCGTTATATTGGGGGCCGTCACGAAGGCTATGAGTACTAGACCGGGTTTGTTTCAACGTAGGACACGGAGCCTTTGCACAGATGGGACTATTACATAATCCCTAGCTTCTAACCTAACTGTCTTGGATGCATCAACTCTGTGTTCCTTTAGTTCGGCGCCACTAATAGTCAGAATGACTTCATCTGATCATTAAATTAGCTAGCTACCTTGCAACATACCCGCATCGCATAGCTTCCGCCCACGCAGTTGTTTGGTGGCCTGATTGCGTGTGAATCTCCCTGTTGTGGATATGAATGCATATATGACTCAAGGCAAATAGTAGCTTCATCTGTATGTTATTCCTTGGCATGAATAGTAAGATACAACTAATAACTTTAGGTCTGCTTGGACATTGTAATGTCCGGCAAACGGTCTATGGACTGACGTGCCAGTATGACAATCTCTCAAACATAAGTTGTAGCTTTCAATTTAAGGAGATCTTGTCATTTCACTTCATTCTTCAGGACCTCATCAAGCTTTGTCTTAAACGCAGAAGAACTAGCTCCGCCTTCGAACATGTCCCGCCCAATTCTGATTTATCCTCCGGATCGGAATCAGGCTACCACCTGTGGCCCTCCGGTCCCTTGGCAGCAACCTCCTACGAACACGGTTGTTCCAACTCCTGTGTCAGCTTCCGTCATACCTTCCGTGCTAGTACCCGCGATTATTCTTGTGCCTAGCACCGTGAGTCTAGTGCCGACTTCAGGTATACTCGCAAGCCAAGTTTCAGAGACTAAACTCACATGAAATACTAGGCACTTTTTACCCACATGCTGTGCCCTCAGCGTATTCAATCGTACCTGCAGATAATCAGATCTCGGCCGACCCTAATCATCCTTCTCAACATAGGAACCCGGACCCTAATCCGAGACCCAGTCCGAGGCCTAGTCCGAACAACACAGAAGAAGAGCGAGGTAGATCAACGACCCCCAGAGACCACACAACCTCGGGCGATACTGAGAACCGAACACGATCCGGATCGGAGCCCGGACCAGGCTCAGGCAGCCGAAACACCTCGCCCCCTGTTCGCCAGAGCGAGCCGCAACTCGGCGAAGATCTCCTAGCAACTCAGGCTCTACGAGACCTCTATAAAGCTAACCCGACCCTCCACGGCCAGATATGGAAGTGCATAGCTGCCCGCCTAGCGAAACCTGGCGTTCTTCGAGCTAGAGTCGTCGTTGATGGTCTCGGATGCCCGTCCCTGTATACCCCGGCTGGCGACTTCGGCCGGGAGGTAGTAAGAGCTCTGGAGCCGTACATCAAGGACGATGTGATCATGAAAATTGGAAAGGCCAAATATCAGGAGAATCGAGACGCTATTCTGGATCTGGCGTGTATCGCATACCGTACGGTGGGCATTGAAGCTATTCTGCGAGGTCGGGAGGCTAGGCGGCGGAAGTTGGAGGAATCTACGAAGGAGAGTGAGGCGTAAGGTCGTTATGTGGATATGTCTAAAGGTTGGAAGGTGTGGTAGAAGATGAGCGATAGGTAAAAGGGGAGGGGGGGTAGGAGTACGATGAGGAAGGAATAGGTGCGGTGATTTAGTGATTATGAGCACATCAAATCTCCAGTCTCATGGCCAATTAGGCGGCAATTGCTATTTATTAGTATAAGGTACTCCATGGGTTGCTGTGGTATTTTATTGACCTAGAGTTCTGTGTGCCGAAGCAGACGGTTTACTGCGGATTGGTCGACCCGCTTGCCCCGACACTGACATGCTCTGGCATTTTCCCCTTATCGGCTTTTTCTAGATCTATGCTCGTCATGGGGTATCGAAATCGGGGCAACGAACTACAGAAATCGCCGTGGTTTGCTTCAGCTTCCCCATTTTCACTGCCAATTACCCAAAGTGAAGTCGGCGTCCTGCCGCTACTGACTGTCAATCCTGAATCACTCGCTTCCTTGGACCTGCTACCGAACCTACCCCTAACTTCCCTGGCCCTCTCACCGAACCAAGCCTTTAGCTCCTTGCGCTGCTTAACTCCAAAAAGGCCAATTATTGCTGCAATGTACGTGGCGAGAGCAACGGTGACAAAGGTAATCCAAAAATTTTTCTGTGTTTGGATGATGCCTCCGTCGCCGTCAAAGAGGTGCATGCCATAAAATGTCTAATAAGATCGTTCGGTGAGTGGGAGATTTCGATATAGGTAGGTACTTGAAGAAGAGGGAATGGGATGTGGTAGTGAGTTTGGCAAACTTACAGCTACGAATGACGGCGGAAGAAAGATGATGGTCACTACTGTAAAAACTAGGAGATATTGATTGATTTTGGTGCTCTTGAGGGCCTCTCGAACTGACTGCGCATTGAAGAGCTTTGCGACTGATTAGTCCTGAATTTAAAGCTTATCTGGGAACTTACCCCGTCTCGCAGGCTTTCGACGGCCTTGGTGTTCTGGTTAATCCGGTCAAGTAGCCCTTGTCCCTCTTTTTGGTGAAGTGCGAGAACAACAGCCCAATTTCGCGCAACAATCTTGGCCGCATTCTCAAAATCATCATGGAATTCAGTGAGTCGGCCTCCAGGGTCTTTACCAATCGACCGGGTGCGCATCAAGACAGCCAAGTCGGTCTTAGGTAAGTTGGCGTCTATGTGCCAAATCCACGACCAAAGAGTCCTCCTCGAGAACAACTCACCACATACCTCGCTCGCCAGCTTTAGGTCAGCCATGCTACGTGTGATCCGCTCAGAAGATACGCGAAGTATTTGCAATAGGCTGAAATAGAACCGCGATCGGTCTAGTTGCTCGTTGTCATACATGCAACTCTCGACATTATCCCTATCAAAGACATCTCCAATCTAAGAAGAGTCGGGGTTGTTAGCACTACTACGGAAGGCTAGCGGCTACACCGCAATATGCGATAGTGATCTGGCACAAACCTTAGGTTCGAAAGACTCTTCCAGATAAAGGAGCGTTCGAGACCAGTCCGAAGACCATTCCCGTATTGTGGCGCAAATAGTCTCTTGAAAAAAGACAATGCCTATCAACCTACGACATGGTAACAGGCCAAGCTCGTCGAGCCCGGCGATATTATAATCTGTAGGTAGTCGAACATTATTATGTAGAGATATGTTAACAACGTCTTTAAACTCAATGACAACGAAGTGTCCATATGGCTGCGTGGTGCGAATTTCTAAGTGAGTGGCCAGGGAATATCGACGTTCAGATAAATGTACTTTCCGGTCGTCCACACAGCGGATGCAAAAGTGATCCCTCTCTAATTTTAGACCCGGTCTAATCGGTGTCCCCTTAAGTTTACCGTGGTGTATATAACTGGGGACAATACTTCGAAGATGGAAGTGTAATAAAAACCAATGTGTTCTCAGGGAACTCCAGATGCGAATCTTGTGAGTGGACCAGGAGCTAGCATAGCCGGTGAAGAAGTCTTGGGGGCTATCGTCTAGGACTTCAGGAATTCCAAATACGGGAAATATCAAGGCAAAAAGGTCTATTTCAAGTATAGAATTGGAATTATTAAACGAACTTCCCCGAGTAAGTTAGCAGAGGTCTTTCCATGCCTTGCCTCGCCAGTCCAAATGGTTATAACTTACATGAACAACCCGCAACGGGTATGGCAATTCTGCATACTCTGCCATGTCAGTAATTAAAGCAATTGAGGTATAACTTGTGACGAAATTGAGGTGATATTATTGGGTGTAACAGCTGTGAGGTATCTAACATGTAAGGAGCGATTTCTTCGCTCAATTTTTTGAGGGCTATTGAACTGAAATATAAAGTCGTCAATACGAAGGCCGGGTGGTAAGTCATCCTTGCTGGAAAAGAGGATACTCGGAGTAGTTTTTGGCCACATGCTTCAAAGCTCACTGGGAACAGCTGGACGGGTGTTATTTGGGGGGGATTTCCATAGACACTGTGTTTTACTTACTGGTGTCCGAAGATGAATTTAGTGAAACTTGCGGTCCAATGAAGAGAGGTATTGCACGGGGTAGCCAATCTTCCAAAATAGCCTGGATCCATTTCACGCAATCTTCAAAGATGGTATCCATTCCCCGTTCAAAGTGCGCGAATGATCGTTCGAAAGAGGCTGTATCAAATTCCTCTGGTCGCTGAATATCAAAATTTTTCGAGATGTCGGTCGGGACTTTTTCGTGTCCTCCAACGTCTTTACTAATAGAGAAAGGATAGGCTCAAATGATTCACGAAACGCCTTAAACTCGTTGAGTAGGTCACGCGTTACCGCCTGATCTAGCTGAGGCTTGGCATTATGTTGTTCAATGGATGCCTCTTTCTCCGGCGCTGGGGCAGGAGTAGTCGCCGCTTCGCACTCTGCCATTATTGAAGGCTTGAGAGTCGTCCCGTGTACAGAAACGCTCCAAATATTGTGCTGGAATTGTAAACGCCGTAATGATGCATCGATTAGATGTGGGTTTCGTTCGAATGGGGTAAATATTGGGTATTAATATACCATGTTAGGTTTCATTTTACTCACAGCCTTCTAGAAGCATTGCTGAATTTGGCTTCTTATGCCTCCATCTTCTATTGGACGGCTTGCTCGTCCATATTTCGGGGCTTGCCGTGAGTCGCCAACCTTAACATGCAACCGTGCCCAAGTTTTACGGGGGGTGACGGGGTGTCTTGGTTCTGGAAACAAAAATTTCCTCGTCGCCGGAATCCCGATAGTTGGAGAATGAGAATCCGC